AGACCTAACGTCCTCCCCACAAGCTCACGTCCTGGAGGCTCATGTCCCCCGGCAGGAGGCAATGACGTGGCATTTGACACGTGACTGTAGGCACGCACCGTGTGAGCGCGGCCCAGCCAGCTCCTAGGAGGCAGGCAGCTGGCACACTGTGACAGTGTCAGGGAGGGGATGGACAGAGGTGGACGGAAGCTGGCCGGGTCAGGGGCTGCTTCTCAGAGAGGCCCCACCTGGGTGTGGCAGTCTCAGGTGCTCTGGTGACTGGGGCAGTAAAGCCCACCTGGCCTCAGTGGCCGGAGCTGTTCCCACACTGCATTACCGCCTTGCCTGTCGCCTGGGGGCCCATGAACGCTGCAGGGATGTGCCTGCGCGGTTCCAGGGAAGGGGCTCTGCTGGGATTTGAGACTTGCCACTTGAGAGAAAGCATGAGCACGTGCTCAAAAACGCAGCAGTCCTGGGAGGCTCAGCCATGACCAGGACCACAGTCCCCGGCTGTCTGCGGGTGATACTGTAGGTCAGGAGCTAGCCCACGAGGTCGGATTCCCCAGGGAAAACCCAGTCTGGGGGCCGCGGGAGGCAGCTCAGTGTCGGGTAACGCAGGACCACCCGGCGCGACGCTCCACGCACGCTACCTCCGTGTCAGCCCGTAGTCTGAGCCCGAGTGTGGTCTCCTGAGAGCCACGAGGGGAATATGCATGTCCGAGGCAGCCTCAGAAACAACAGAAACGCACTTCTCACAAGTCAAGGTGAGATCAGGGTGTCGGTGTGGCCGGGCCCTGGCGAGGCCTCTCTTGTAGACGGCTAGCGTCTCGCTGTGCCCTCACATGGCAGAAGGCAGAGGCCGCTCCCTGGGCCTCCTGCAAAAGCGCTGGTCCCGTCTGTGAGGGCACCACCCCGTGACTCACCTCCTGAAGTTCCCACCTCCTAATACCGTCACGGTAGCATTAGGATGTAGCAACGAGACTGGCCAGACTGTGTGTCAGTGCAAAGCAGCATTGGGCAGTTTAAGGAGGTGGGCTGGCAAGGGGGCCAGGCAGTGCGCTGGGATGAGCCACTGACTGACAAGAAAGGGAAATCCCCATGGACTTGTACAGAAGGGCTTCATGGAGGAGGTGCCTTGCGGTCCACAGAGGCTCATCTCCAGGTGCTGGTGAGTGTCTTCTCAGACAGAAGGAGCCCTGGAGCTTGTTCTCAGGAATGGCTGTGGGCAACCTCAGGAGATGTGCCAGGACAAAGGCTCACCATGGGAATAAAGGATACAGGAAAAGGACATAGAAAGAAAAAAAAGAAGAAAGGAGGGAAGGAGGGAAGGAGGGAGGGAGGGAGGGAAGAAGGAAGGAAGGAAGGAAGGAAGGAAGGAAGGAAGGAAGGAAGGAAGGAAGGAGGGAGGGAAGGAGAGGGAGGGAGGGAAGGAAGGAGGGAGGGAGGAAGGAAGGAAGAAAGAAA